GTCCACCAGGTCGTCGTCAGACAGATGAGTTGAATGAAATATTGCACTAAATAACAGCCCCGGTGACAGCTTCTGTTGGATTTATTGAGGATGGGAGGAGAGGGTAGAATTTATTCTTCGCAACTGTTTCTCACTTTGCATGTTTCATAGTGCTTTAAGTATATTTGCCTGTTAGGAAGTCTGCTTTTTGAGACTGAAATCAGAGTTCTTAAGGACTTTTGTAATTTGGTTTTATAGCCACTCTCAGTCAAAGTATATCTGGACAGATTTCGTGGGTTCTGTCACTTGAAGTGGAAATTAAAGGTGGGCGAGTGCGGAATCATTTAGTGTACCGAAACAAACCTCCGGGGCGGGGGATGTGGCGCCGGGCCAGTCTAAGCCGTAGAATGCATTTAAGAAGAATAGGGAGATGAAAGTGACCTGGAACTCCCTCACCGTTGGTTTCGGTTGGTTACGGTAAAGTTTTTTAAATAAGCATGCAGCTGACTAAGTGGGTCGTGAATAAGCAAATGAGAGACATCTCCATACTAGTGAGTCAACTCTTCAGTCATTGCAAGTCAACTGGAGGACAAAACGCAATGTTTAGCAGTCCAATAGATTGTCAGGAGCAGTTTATTTTATGTAAACTTACTGATACTGTGGTTGCTTAAGTCATAATTGACAACCTTAGAAAAGCCATAGCAAATTTCGGAGTTTTAAAATATTAGATATTGTAGGTAACCTCGAAAAACAATTTGCAGCCAAGTCTGCATTCTAACTTACTCCGTACATGCGTGTGGACATGCCTGAGCACCCTCTTCGGCCTCTTTCGTTTTTCTCTGCTTGCCACAAATCTCGTCACATCCATGGGGAATGGTAGTATGTCCAGGATGGTATTCGGGTCTGATTTTTCGGCCACAAAAGCAGCGATAAATTAGTGGTTTGTTGGTTGAAGAGTGCTCCTTTTGGCAAGAAGGACAACGCCAGGTATTCTTGGGAGCCGATATCCTTTCATTTGGGTCCTGTTTGCCCAGCTTTGCTGAGAGTGCCCACTCAGTCATACACTTTAGGTGGTACATGTGATAGCAGTCATCGCAAGACCAAATTTCGTCTCGGGGAAAAATTGAGCACAAGCAAATAAGGCAGGAATACTGACCACATCGTAATTTTTGGATGAGATCCTCTGGAAATAACACAACACAAGATATAAGATAATGGGTTCGGCTTAAGTATAGTCAATTGTCTAGGTAAACAATTGATATTTGAGTAAACAATTGTTCAAGAGATATAATATGATAATCCGACTTCACGCCATTGGAAAATGTAACAAGTAAAAGCTCGAAAGGGCATTATTTTGCCCAAAGATACGAAGACACATTAACAGATGGTGAAAACTTGCCTCGTAAGCACAAGTTTGAAAATTCTTTTGCTGTTTCGCTGATGGTTTGACTATACTCCCTAATTTGTAGACTATGTTGTGAAGCGGTGGTGCTATCTGAAACTGCTCCCGTAGATGCACTGTCTCTTCCTCTAAATTTTTGTTTGCCCGAGTTATTGCCACGCGAACTTTGACTAAATCCTCCCCTATAATTTTGATTGTTGGGATGATTATCGCGAAAATGTCGATTGGCATTTGGATATCTGTTGGAATCCCGCTTTTTAGAGACATGCCGACCGTCATTTACACCATATGCTCCTTGAGGGTATGAATGTGTATATTCATTGTAGTTGTGCATAGCTCCCCTTCCAAAGCCATGTTCTCGCCGTCCCGCTCGGTTAGCCGATGTCTGAAAAACTTCGCGCATCGGTTGTTCAACGGCCGGCTCAGCAGAACCAGACGCACTGGCGATACTAGGATCCATCACTACCCGTGTATTAATATTTTTTGAATTGTCGTCTTATATACATCGAGTTAAAACATAAATGTTTACATGATTCCCCAAAGTTATTTTAATTGCACTTGCCTTCCATTGCAAAAAATGCTTGTGGGACGAAGTGGTCTAAAGCTTTTAGGCAACGTTCTCTCTCCTCCTTTATAAATAGAAGTTATGTATGCAGTCAGTCAGTGGGCAGAGCCCCCTTCTCTTCGAACTCCCGAAGATCTTGGAAAATGGGGAAGCCAGTTGTTCTGCGAGCGCATTCAGAAGTTTTGCTGATTTGCCATCCGGACCAGGTGATTTAGTGGGCTGTAATTGTCTCAGGGCTTTTCTTAAAATGTCTGTTGCGAACGATACCGCGCTAATTTTATGTACTCACGGTAAAGGCGGCACCTCGGTATACACAGACGTAAAGAAGTAAGATAACAGGTTCTCCTTATCTGAATTATCTTCGAGGTCATCCCACTGACTGGAATTAACTTCCTTTTTCAGTTGTTTTTGCTGATAGC